TTAAACACGTTTCAACTTTTTTTAGTACTACCACAACATCATTGGATGGATAAGTCAGGCCACCCCTAGTTTTTTGCATTATTAAACTAGGTGCAAAACCCCTATCACTGCAAAACAACATGTCTAAACAATTGTCACATTTTAGAGACCTACACAGTTTTTTTACAACAAAGCCAGCAATATAATAATATGTAACTACACATTGAATAAAAATCATTTATAGACGTTACGGGGTGTATTTTAGACGAACAAGTTAATATATTTATTTGTTCAAGTGGAATGCAGTTGCCTACACCTTCATCTCTTATTTCCGCCCGAATTACTAATCTTTTAAATGCAGCCTTAAATTGGACAGCGTTTGGATTATCATTATGATCTAGTTACATTTAAAGTTCTGTTAAAATTTGACTCTTCAAAATGAAGCGAACAAATGAAGATGGTCTTTGATCCAACGTTTAAATTCGGCAGTCCTATGATTTCCAACCATTCTTTCTTCCTTTTTTCATTTGTAGGAAAACTTGAAATAATAATAATAAAACAATAAAAACCTCATAGTGAATTGTTTTAATAACAGAATATCGATAATATGTATGCTTACAAGATCAACACTATCTCAAAATAATCGTTAACAACAATCATCAAAATATACAAACAAACAGGCAATCTAAAGTAACAAATGCAAAATTTGGCAAGATTTATAAATAAACTACTTAAATAAGTCTAATTACATAAAATATTCGGGCTATTGTGTGATTTATAGACAAAAAAATAACACATGCCTGTGCAATGTAACATTCGATTGATTTGCAGTTTTTCTAAAGCCGCATCCTTTAATGCTGCAGCGTCGCATTTTTATTAATACCTAATTATTCTCACTGTCAATATTTTTGTCCAATTTAATTATAATACATGTGAATAATTCAATAATACATTTGGAAAAACATTTGTTTTGACATTTGATGTACTTCCCTTTGACAACGGTATCATGTACCTCATGTACTTGAAATGGCCACGGTTGGCATTTAAAATGACGTTACGAATTTTCGATTCCCGTGTTTGACACAGACCAATGTAATGCTATCTCTTTTGGCTTAAGACGGCACGTAATAGTTAAACAAAGACAATAATATGTTTATGTTTTCGACGTCGAAATGCATCATATACATATAACGTCTGATTTATATATGTCAACGTAACGTGTCCTTTAGTTTCCATAGTCTAAGCCATAGATATAGAAAAAAAGGGGAGATATGTAATGACGCTATGTTAGATCGGGTACCGATGTCGCCACTTTTTAGCTTGTGTGCAATTCAAACTTTTCGGTCTATTATCTACTAGTATATAATAGCTAACTATTACACGTTAGATGGCGCTGAAACTAATTTTTCGTTACACTAAGAACTCACAGAGCGGGTTTGCCCACGCCTGTCGCGGGACAACGGGAATGTGATAGTTAAGTATGTAAAATTAGTAACACATTTCATTCACGGCGCGTTTGACGTCTGTAGTGGTGACGGTTGCTCGCGGTTGTCGCGGCGGGATACTAGTAGAACCGCGCGGCACACGATCACCTGTTGCCTTGGCGGCCGTCGTCGCCCGCGCACTTTGGCGGTCGGTTCAGGAGCAATGTGGTGCAGGCGCACGCGGGATGAGTTCTCTATTAACCGCACGACTAGCGATTAACTCCCACTAACTTCGCGGTCCGTTCCGCAATCGCAACGGCTTAAACTAACGCTACTCAACGAGGGATGTGGTCCTACCTAATCGATAGTTAGAAACCATGTGGCTGTTTTTATTATTAAAAAATATTCCATTTTTCATACTATACCTACACTGGTACTGGTGTATTATTAAATTAATATAAATTATTATCATTTTCTTAATGGCGGCTTGGGCCCGTATCAGTTTTATAAGAATAATATAAAAAATATGGCGATCGCCGCCAGTGTCAGTTTTCCATTATACGTTACCACGGGTTGGTTATTGTCAAGCGTAAACTCGGACCATCAACGAATTTAATAAATTAAATTATGTTGTTTTTTATGAAGGATTTATGTAATTTTCTATGCTTGTTTTTAATTTACTTTGCATGCACATGTAAAATAAGGCCGATTTTATTTTATTTATTTTTTAAATGCATTTGCTATGGAAATTTAAACAAAGTCAGAAATAGTAATAAGAAAACCAATATTTCGATTTCTCTGCAGCTTCAGTCCAACCTTCTCTTATTTTGAACTCATTGGAAAAATTTAAAATACGCTTAATCTACGAGTATAATGGACTTTAAATATCTAAATTATCTAAAACAATAATACGCATACATTTTTCTTCAAGCAACAGCAACATACAAATTGACATGAAATTGAAACGGTCGTCCGAAATATGAGTTGTGTTAAAGTTACTCGAAATAAAATGTTTAGTAATAATAATAATAATAAAATAAGGAAATCAATTTAACGTGAATGCTTTTCGTTTCGATATTTTAGGGACTTTAATTACAAAAATCATAGTAAGAAATTCAAAAATTTTAGTAAAAATTTATTGTCGATAAACATCAGTCATCGTAAATGAACATCACTATATTTGCGTCAACAAATTTCTATGGAGACAAAAGAAAACATTGAATAATAATAGAAATAGTAACTAAAAATGCAAATAGTCGGTGGAATGTTATTTCACTGGTTTTCAAATTTTTGTTTTCACTTAATTTTTTACAAGGTGTATCGCTACAACTTGGCATTTTCACGTTTTACGAGAGATCTTGTATGTAGGTACTACGATCGCCATGTCACTGGGGCGATGTTTGTAGGCGAATCACCTCGACATGATCATTTTGATCCATAGATTTAGTATATTTTGATCAAAATGATCATATCGAGGCGACACGAACCACGCCCCCATACCAAATCTCCCCTTTTTTTCTATATCTATGGTTGTTGCGAATAGATGGTATAGTGGCCCACTAAGGCATTGGTCCTCTCTTCATTTAAATTTGCGTACTAACATAGTTTTTTAACTTTTTTTAAATATTTAATTGTAATACTAACACTTTTATGTATCTACTGTTGTCCGGAATAAATGCATTCTATTTCTTTTTTTAAATTTAACTAAGACAATTTCAGGCCTTTGAGGAGCGCTTTTTATTAATTTCATAGCTAATAGGTTCTTTATTACCGCTATTGTTGCTTAGTTTTGTGCGTGATTTTTAGTTCTGGTCAAACTAATATTATCGCGAATGTTTACATCAAGAAACTTTTTTATGTTCTTTAGATAATTTGTACCTTTAAGACGAGTAACTCTCTCCGTGTAAATGGGCCTTTAGCATCTAACGCGGTTTGCTGGAAGACGTTGATTCAAATCCAACCGGATCGAAGGAATTTTTCTTAGTGTTCGATTTTAGTATTAATAATTATTAGAAATTATAGTCCATTTCAATGGGGATGATTCCGGAGACGTTTCAAATTTGAAGTTTCTAGAGATGTACTGATGTAAAATCGCATAAAAAGAAATCGATTTATTTATTTATTTAAAGATACACCATCAACTTAACACTAAACAATCTTAGAAATAAATATACATACGTTCACCATACAAGGTGCCAAGTCGCTACAGGTGTATACAGCACTAAACATTTAGAGTAAGCCAATGAGATACAAAAAATAATCTAAAATAATAATAACAATATTAAAAAAAATTAAAAATGTAAAATTACAGCAATAATTTAATTTGAGATAGAAACAATTGCTTGCACATCTGAATAAGTTGTTTAGTGTTCCCTACATGAATAATGTCTATTTCACTGTCTCTGGTCAAAGTCAAGTCATGGTATGACTGCATAAGTCAGTTCAAGGGATACCTCCGGAGATTTAAATATCTTATCGAGATAATTTGTAACGAGGAGGGAATCGATTTACAGAAAATAATTTAAGAACAACTAATGAACAAAGGAATGGTGTAAATATCTATAGATAAATATTTCGCTTTACACATTAAGTAATTAGGGTAATACATTGTGTCTATCCCTAAAAACTACACAACCAAACAAAAAATCAACAATAAAGCTTAAAATCAACAGCAACGAAACGGAATTTGAACAATTACTCCAAAAAGATCACGCAAAGCTAAAAACAAAATAAAACTCGCCAACAAGGTATGTAAATGTCTCGTTTTGACGCGAGCGGGAGGTGTAAATCTCTATGTATAAATAACCCGTTTTACGCATCAAGCAGTTGGGATAATTTATTTTTATATTTATTATTTCATTTTCTATCTACATAAGTAATATACCACAATTTTTACTTAAAATTACATCTATCTACAACAAATATTGGTTGATTTTGGTATATTATAACAAATGTACTATTTATTTTTGTAACCTGATTGACGGATTAATTATAAATCGTATGCGTGGAACGTATCACAGTACTCATCCCTATTGAAATGGACTATAGTGGAGTATAGGGTGATTTCACAAAAATAAATGAATATCCTGGTGACATTCAATAAACTCAAAATTAACTACATTTTAAATTATTATTTCAGGTAACGTTCATTACCACGAATTCAACTATGATATAAATTATTTTCAATATTTTCACGATAATATGAAATTGTGTTCTTGATCTCATAAGCTACAGCAACTTGAAACTTAAAAGTGGAAAAATATAGTAATGCATTACGTACTTACACACATCCTAATTGGTATTTTTGTATCTTTATTCACCTTAATTAAATGTGAAATGTTTACTGCTATCACGGATCTAGAGAATTTATTTCAAACACATAATAACGTGCTCAGCAATTTGAAGCAGTACATTGAAAGAGAGGAAAATAGACTTAAAGTATTGAAAAGGTAATGATATAATTGTGGTTGACTCGTGTGTTCTGGTCACTACAACCTAATTATTTTCTCTTTGTGCTGTTGATAGGTACCTAAAACTATTTACAGATGAAAACGAGAAGATAAGTAGTGATGCACAAAAGTATGTCCATCACCCAATAAATGCATTCATTGTAATAAAAAGACTATCAACTGATTTCGAACGGTTAAAAACTATAGCTTCTGAGCCCACTCGTAAGTAAATTAAACTAAGTCTTTTTTTATCACTGCTTTCTATATCGAGGAAATAGTAATAATACGGAAGAACTTCAGAATACGTAACACATCGGAACTGGGTGAGGGTGAGGGGAGAAGTAGGGGAGGGAGGGGTTCCTCCTGCAAAGGAGGAGAAAAGTGAGAAGATGTACAATAGTTTTTAACCAACTATTAAAAAAAAGGAGGTTCTCAATTTGACTGTATTTTTTTGTACGTATGTTACGCGATAACTCCGGGTAGTACCTACTGAGGTACCCTATTGGAAAGAGGGTTTCTCAGTTGTGGTTCCATTTAAATTTTAAGAAAATATTCCACCTCTAAGGGTTGCAAAGTAGGGGATGAATCCGGTTTCGCGCACTCTGATAACCGATTTCATAAAACTTGGCAAATAGATGTTTTTTTAGTACTCTGTACTGAGATTATTGAGATTTATTATATGTTGTATATTATACGTTACGTATTCTAAAGTTCAGCCTAATGATATTATATTCTTTTAAACTTACACGCTGTGCCCCACAATGTCTGACCGCCTAAACGCCTATAATTTTCATATTTTTTTGGAACAAGCACGGAAACTTTCAAAATTGCAGTAAAATTATCAACTTCTGTTTCTTTCCTTTTTTTATTGACCATAATACAGGAAAACTACTTCTTTACTAATTACAAGCTTCGCCTTCCGGCTTTATCCACAGCGAAGTAGTTCAGTCTATTTATGTAAAGATGATATACAATATAGCAAAAATCTTAAAAAACAAACTTAATTACTTCTATCCAGGTACAAAAACATGTTCACTTACACGTATATACAAATGGCATATAATTAAGCAGTTTATAAAATAAAGTTTATATCTTCAGTTTTCATAAAATATTTCTTAATGTATGATTTATAGTATCTGTTGTTTTGATAATTACTTATAAATTCCTCACTCATTTTGTTCATTAATGCAGGTAACAAATATTTAGCTTTCTAAAATTTCTTTTTCCATAATAGTTATCGAATTTAGGTAGTCGGTCCTGTTATTGATACGTTAGTAAATCAACTATAACAATCGTTTAAATAGATACATTGAGGTTCTCGGCGATAAAAAAAACGCACTTCCATCGGTTAAGCTAAGATGGTTTTTATCACTGTTTACTTGTTTATTGGTAGGTCAATGCTTGTATAAATCAATGACTTTTCAAATGAATAAGATGTGGCTTTAATTAAAATTATAAATTTTTTATAAAAAAAAACGACTTCAAAAATTTGCTTCTTCGCTTTCGTTGCATTCGTTATCGTTGTCTTCTCAACAATAACTAAAACAATATGAAAATCTTCGTTAAAACAAATCATATTATGAGTCCAAGCACTAGGTAACTGCTGTACAGTGCTTCTACATTCTCAATGTCCTTCGGCAATCATCGGATTTCCGAATGCACAAGAATTTTCATTTCCATGCCCATTAATTATTAGATTTAATATCTATAATAATTTGAGTTTTGAACAACGTACTTTATTGTAGTTTTGTTTTGATTTCCAAGTGAAATGTATAGAGCTGTAAAACTATTTCCCTATTTTTAATAACATTTACTCCATGTCAATAAGCGAGTTATGCTCCGTCCAACCATCTATTAAACTTTTGACATATATAGCCTCTGAAGTTACGTAATTATTGACGTGCAACCATAGACGAAAAAATGCAATACTTCCTAAACTCTTTTATTTTTTAATTTTAGTGAAGCGACGTGCTATTTAACTCCAATATTTATCGAGTCAATAGATTATGTAGCGAAGATTATTCAAGGTGATAAATTTTCGTACCTGTCTAATAAATTATAATGAAAAGAAATAAATTATAAATAATTATATTCAATTCTTATTGTATATTATATCATCGGATTCTTCTGCATATGAACGGGAATCATCACTTGAATCCTTATTAACATTAATTATGAGTTCTTGAGTACACAAATTGTCAAACGCAACATCATGATTCAAATTAGACAATATCTTTTTTTTTGAACCTGACCTGGTTCATTCACGATTAAAACTTCTTAAATAAAATCGATTGTTGTAGAAAACTGAATTGGAAATGCATTATGACATCACTAATTGATTAGAATTCTAGCTGTAAAAGTTAAATAAACGATTGGACGGAGTATAACAAAAATATAATGTAAAGGAAAGGAAAAACAACTGATTTATCTTTTTTATAATGCTTACTGCTCCGATTGAAACACCACAAGCTACAGAAATAGGGTTTTCTACGTGTTGAAAATAACTATTGTTGTCTTTCTTGAACGTATCGGCTTTTTGTAAAAAATACAAGTACACGCTGTAACTTATCTGTCGTGCCTGTGACCGTGTAGCGGCGTTTCTCCCATTGAACAATAAATAAAAAAATGTAATAGCAACTCTATATACTTCCAAGTCGACTGAACGCGTCCGGTCTGTACCAAAGGCAAAGGGCAATTGAATAAAAACCCGAACGACAGCCGAAACACGAAATTTGCCGAGGGACATTGCGAAAATAGAAGCACTGTACACTTCTATTTTTTTTCATTGGAATTATTGTTATTTTTATTTAAATGGTTCCACTATAGAGGTACACCCTTTCCAAAAAAAAAAGAATCAACGAAATCGGTGAAATCAAAGTTCAAAAATGTAAACAAAAGTGATGCCATTACAAAAAAATATTCCACGAATATTGGAACAGTGAAAAGGGTTAAAAATTTATGCTAGAATGTTTTATATTGTTTTTAAATTGTGCGCATGTACAAACAAAATATCTGTGCCTCCAGTGAAGAACGGAATAAGACGAGTTATGCCCATTTGTTTTTATTGCACCATTGTTGGCTTCAGCGTGTCCGATTACATAACATATTATCAAAAGGATATCTCTCTAGCAATCTCCTAACTATAGTTTTTTTTTGCACTAAGGGCATAACTCACTGTTTCTAAAGGCATAATTTTAGCTGTCAGGCATTTATTATGAGTCTAACGGTACAAGTGATCTCAAATAAAAAATACATGGAAGTTTAACGAATAACTACAGATAAAATATGTTTTTACATAAACACACTTCTCGCATTGTTCCCTAATAACGGAGGAGAAAAGTACCGCACACAGTACAGCAGCGCTGCGGCCGCGCGGGGCCAGCACTTTTCATACAATTTTTTGACCGCCGCCGCGCGACAGTCGCGCTGCAGTCACGCTCGGTTGCAGTCACTGTTAGTGAGGTGTACATGTTAATTTTTCAAATTAACCACGATGGATGAAAATCGAATTGAAGAATTTATAGAGAATGTAAAACAACACTGCAATATGGGATGGCAGTTCCGCCAGTTATTCCAATCGACTGGATAAAAAAAGGCATGAGAAAATTTATATTTATTGACAATTTTGAAACTGAAACACAAATGAAAAAACAACATACCAGGCTAGTCATTTTTAATACCTATATGCATTGACTTCTAATACAAAAACCACGAAAAAAATGTCCCAAGTCAACCTATTTAAACGTAGTGACATGTAAAGGAATATGAAAAAGCTAAAACGTTGAATTAAATTGTAATGTCATCGCAGTACTGTCTAATTTTGCTTGCTTCGCTGTCAGTCGAACAAACGAAGACTAAAGCGTGAATGACGCTCTGTATACGATTTTTACGCACTATAAGTTCGGACACTTTTTAGCGCGGACCCGACGTCCATATAATTGTAAGTCAATGCCTATATGTGAAGTGTGTGCCACAAGAACTAGATAAAAGTAATGTTTCTTCGTCAGAATCCATCGCGTAACTGAGTCGAAAGATAGAACATCTCTAAAAATTTGCACTTCAGCAGCGCGACTGTCGTGCAGATGCAGCGCGGCCGCCGCGCGACTGCAGCGCTTCTAACAGCGGTAATTTGAACGCGCCCTAAAAGCGACTATTGCTTTATTCCACAGTGTACATAAAGTATAACAGAGCATTCTGTTTGTTCCACTGGACACGATTGGGCATACCTGCGGTTATACCGTTTTGCTATTGGTTAATAGTTCGCAACAGAAAACTTGTAGTAGTGTCAACAATACATCACCGCGATTTTTTTCATTCGATTTCTGACAGCTGTAGTTATCGAATGTGTTCTTTGCTGCGTATGCGTCGTGTTTTAGGTTTTGGTTTTACTCTGTTGTTACGTTTGTGTTACATAACCACAATGGAGGCAGAAAAAAGACCACGCCCTGCAATGTCTGTAACCGAAAAGTGATAGTAAATATCTACTAGCATACAGGCATTTGAAATCTGGCCACTAAATGAATATTGGTTTTTGTACGAGTATGCCAACAAAACTGCTGAGTTTCTAGGGATATCTGACAGAACTGTTCGAAGAATAGATTGCCTGAGTAAAAACAAAAGTCAATATTTGACATGTTAGCCGCTAATGCCGAAAACAAAACAGTTTATGTATCATATAAAAATATTCTAAGATGTTTCTTTTGCGTAATTTTCTATGGGCCGTGACCCTTCTCATTTCCTCGTAATTTTTTAATTGAAAATATTTTATGACACAAGATGATTCTAAAAAGTTTTGTAAATCGTTCAACCCAAAAGAATATTTTTCCATTATAATTATTAGTCAGAATACCTGTTATTAAACGAACGTGGAAAAAAAGGTTCATGATCCATGAGATGTCACTTTGACAGTGACAGTTATTTGTTTACATTTTTCGACTTCAACTCCATCTCAGAGTTTAGAACGTAATTAATTTATCGTGTTAGTGTTACAAAAAAAACATAAGCAGGTGACGTGGACTGTGTCGTCATCTTCATAGGAACAGAATTTTTATTTCATTTATTAAGGTCATATATAAAATGATTATTGTAAAATAATAAACAAAATTCATCATGAAAATGACAGTGAAAATCGTTTGCATGAGAACGGCCCATCTGTGGCCGTTTGAGCAGAGCTCCGTACGCGATAAGTGCCTACCGCTGAATGTATCGCCGATAGTGCAAGCGCTCAGATAAGTCTTCTTTCATTTACTCAAATCCTTGTACAACCCTTGCATTTGGTTCCGCACGACTGCACACGACGGGCAACGTTATTTTCACCTTTCTGTGCGCGTGCTTAGGTTTTTTTTTCCTCGTAGTGAGAGCCTGGTTTTATTAGTCAGATTTAGTAGGCTATTATAGCGTAGGTATTTTCAATTTTGTATAAGAGAGGTGTATCTGTTACGTAGTAACTAATTAAGTAATCTGTGGTTTGTGTCCCTAAGTACTCTTAGTGATTTTGAAATTGCACTAAAGCCATTAACTATCAAACAACTGAAGCCATTGTTCAGATAAGTTAAACAGTTTGTTTGCCAGCAGAGTTCGTTTGGGATCTAGAGATGCAATATCCAACAGAAGAAGACTTAATTGGAGCAGCCGTGGCTATTGGTCGACTACAACTCTTTTACAAGTTGAACACTACACATCTAGCTGAAGGAAATCTGCAAGGCGTAATTGGGTAAAACACGTAAACTACCACGACACCTTATTGGTAGCAATTAATAGTTCTAAATAAGCGTATCACTTATCGCGCTCGTAAAGCTATATACATAGATGATCTTCGCGTAGGTGCCCTAAAGTAGTACACACAATGATCATATGTAGTGTATAAGATCATTTAGTACACATTTGTGAATCCTGGAGATGTTTTTTTTATTTTCAAGACAATTCTAATTTTTCACTAATGAACATAAGTCAGACAAAGTCAGAAACGGTCATAATTGGATGCCAAGCTTACGTCCAAATATTCGGTATGTCCGAGATGTATCTGCATAAGTTCAGACTAGATACATCTCTGACAGATGATCTCAGGGTCATTTCGAGATTTGGATTTTTCTGCCGACCTGAATTTGGAACGCTACAAGTCCATTCCAAAAACCGCTGCAAAGAACCTTGGCGTCCTTTAAAATTTTAGAAGTGTGTGATATTTATCGGCTCGAGTTCACTTTAATACGGAGTTCTGTTGTTACAAAATTTCTGTAACGAATCATCCTGCTACCGATTCGATGCTCTTTTGGAGCTCTCCACTAAAATATTCATTAGCACAGACTGTTGGTGGGGACAAACTTTCAAAATTCAATCGTGGCGTCGAGGACACTTACAAATTTATAAAATATATACACTTAATAAAGAGTCAACTGTGACCATGAGACCTGTGAAACGTTTGTTTGTTTGACAAAACAAATGTACGCGATTTAAATACGGAATAATAATTTCATTTCTTATAAAATATATTTTGCAAAGCCTGCGCAAGTTTTACACGAGTTAAACCCATCTACTCCTTTCCGTTATAGAGTCAAAAATGCTGAAAGACTTCAACGTTATAGCGTACTTGTTCCATCAAAGCGTTTTGCTTCTACGATTAACGCGTCTATATTTTGTAAGCATGTTTTAAGGGAACTTGTCCCATCTTCATCGTAAAGTGTGTACGTTTTACTTGGTGAAATTGTGAATAAACATAATCATAAACAATCACAAGCTCAAGACAATGGATTACGTGATGCTTATTTCAATTTGAACACTGAGATTGACTTAGACACACTTATATTATCAATATTGAATATGTACTATATACGGACGGGACTGCTCATCAGTAATTAGATTTTGTAAAGTCTATATCTAGCAATAGCTTTGACGATGGTCTAAGTACATGGGATCATGTACCGGTATAGCTCTACTAATTTTAAAAGTAAATCACATTTTGTCCATTTACATCAGCTGATATGTTAATATAGAAAACTGATATAGAAAAATTACAACGTTACAGTTCTCCGATGACTGCAAATGACTGTTATAATTTGGCTCTGATATTGTACAAGCAAGAAGGTCCACACAACTTTAACTCCCACGCTGCAGAGTGGTTCGAAGTGGCCCTTGAAAAACTCAACAATGATCAGAACGAGATTGCATTTACAGCTACTGAAGTCATGATGTACATCGTTAAGTCCTATCATCGCTCGAATATTAATTCAGGTTGGTTACTGCTAGAAAACAGGAACATCGACAAAGTATCGAAGAGACTATGTTAAGGATTCAAAATTTGTTTAATTTTTTTTTTTCATTCTTGGCAGACTCAAAAGCCTATGCGTGGGCAGAAAGACTACTTGTTTTAAAACCTAGCGCTACCAGTGATTTTATTATGAAATTTTATGAAAATGCTATTGTACAAAACAGAAACAACGTAAGTAAGAAAGTTTAATAAGACAAGGCATACTCATCAGTGGCGAAAGGTAGATATTTGAATAAAGTAAGTTGATGTTGAATGGTAAACATCAAACGTTGCAATGCGCGATATTTTCCGGTCAGTACCTACCTACTACTGAGGCAAACCGATGAGAATCGTATAGTCGCGGACGCTTCGCCACTTGCACCCACCAAATATAGAATTTAAAATGAAAATTTCTGTACTTATGTAGGCACATATGTATCGGTTACAGGCTAACTCTGCTTATTTTGACTTATGGAATACATATACTGCATTATGTCGTAATGAAGCTGATGTCTCTGCAACAACTTCAAGCAAGTAATTCATTCATTTCATTTATAACGATGTCATATTGTGTGTAAAGTGAGTGGGAGTCATTCATGAAATATTAATTTCATACATTGTAGATTGCATTGCTCGTATTTAAGTAATATTCCATTCTTAAAACTGGCGCCGATAAAGATGGAGGAAGTTCACAAGAATCCAAATGTTTTCATTTTTTATGACATCCTCAGTGACGAAGAGTTTCAAAACATAAAAACAATTGCCGCTCCCAAGGTATATTTATTAGGACTTTTGGCTACAATACAAGCCCTTTGAGCCAGGTTTTCGGGATCCTCATTAAATATTTTCTATTGTGTTTTTAATGTACTTGTAGAATGGCAAAAAGAACTTTGGGTTTTTCAATAGTGCCTAGGCGGCGGGAGTCATTATTCATGTTTTCACTTTCACATAAATCACTTAGTTCACTTGCTAATAAAAGACGTTGAATTTTGGTCACGGCTTATATCTTCTTCTTGTATGCTTCCATATCATTTGCCTTATATATCTTGATTCTTCTTCCAAAAAATTTTCCGTAATGTTGTCATATCATTGCTTATATCTCCGTATAACAAGCAGTAAATGGTAACGGTAGGTATAACGAGCTAAACATAATCTTAATTGAAAATTTTAAAGATCGAACACAATGAAAAATTTCGTCAACCCGGTGGGACTTGAACCCATGACCATGCAGTACCGTAGCATTGCTCTAACCATCTGAGCCACGGGTCCAGTTACCGAGTCGCCTTAATTCTCCTATGCGTTTTTGTTATAGAACTTTGTACTGACTTTCGGCATTCGTTGCCGCTGGTGACATCTAGTGAGAGATTTTTGATTAAGTTTCTCACCGCTGCCGATACCTTTACAGCTATCATAATTGACGCACGTGTCGCTTTTCGATCAAAAAAATAAAGCGGGAATTGAAATGAAAGTTCAATTTCCGCTTTATTTTTCGACGATCCTGAGGTTTATAGGCAGAATGTAATGTTTTATTTCTTTTTATTTGTGTTTCAAATTTTACAATTACGTTTTCAAACGCTTTCAGCCATATAATATTTTCCTTTTTTTCTCCAGTTGCAACGCGCCAAAGTTGTTGCTGGTAAATACAGTGAAAATCGTATTAGCAAATGTGCATGGTTATTTAACAATATTACTGCTACATCAAAACTGAGACAGCGTGCAGCTGATTTTACTGGGCTCAGTCTGTTACACGCGGAACCATTACAAGTGGTCAATTACGGGATAGGAGGCCATTTCGGTTGGCACTACGATGCTTACCTTAAGGTAATAAATAGTTCATTTATGTATTTACTGAGCTCAAAAGTATTTCTTAATAATATTTTACATACTATTGAGAAGACGAAAGTGTTACGTGTGGTTTTAATGGATATACCTAGCTGTGTAGCCGTTTTAATGAAAACATAAACAATAGGAAATTAAACTATTTTTCCCGATTTAAATCGCGTATATTTGTTTTTAAAACAAACCGACGACGTTTCGGGCCTTTTACAGGTCCCATGGTCACGGTTGAGTCAAGAGGCCCGAAACGTCGTTTTGTTAGAAAAAACAAATATACGCGATTTGAATCCGGAAATATAGTTTCATTTCCTATGTGTAACAATCGCGAAAACCTAAGAATTCGAAACATAAACAATGTTTAATTAATTATTAACAAATTACTGTTGAGATTGTGTTGATGCATTGGTTAAATTTCTTACATTTTTCACAACTTTTGAACTTCATGCGTACTATACATATAAGTAACTTTTGCTTTTAAGGCAATTTTCATATAACTTTTCAGGTCGTTGAGATTTTTAAATTCAACTATATTCATATTAGTTTATGAACGCACCCAAATTAGACCAAAATGAACTTGTAAAATGTAACTTTTGCAGCAAAAATTTAACTTTTCAGGTAACGGAAAGTAATTTTCGACTCAAGGGCCCTGGCAACACTGAACGGAACTTAGGTATTGTACAAAATGGTTTAAATACAAGATATGCTCTTTTCACAGAGAGACGATATTGACAAAAAACGTGGAAACAGAATAGCTACAGTTCTATTTTATGTGGGTATCGTCCTAATCTTAAAGCTATTTTTTTCCCAAACATTTCGTGTGATAATAAAGTTTATTGACGCAGATGACCGATGTGACCCAAGGCGGAATGACCGTGTTTGCCGATCTGAACTTGATAGTAACACCGAAAAAGGGTTCAGCTGTATTTTGGGAAAACCTGCAACCTTCCGGAGATAGAGATGTTAACACTATACATGCGGCATGCCCAGTATTATACGGAAGTAAATGGGGTGGGTACATTATTAATACGTATAGCTTAAGTGCTATCATATATTCAATGCTATCATATATTCAAACATAGAAGTGCAATTAAAATTTCTTTTATTCTTTTCGCCTTTTCTAATACATTATGTCCCTTACGATTTTCATAATAACAAACTTCTCTCAATGTCTATGTAAGGTATTCATATGTACGCGCACCAATGCGCGGAGCAGGGTTGGTGCGCGAACCTAATGGATACCCCCACCTTAAGAGCATTGCTACACTATTGACTATGATTTCAGCGCACCGAGTGCCACACGAGTGATAAAACATAAAAAATAAAAGATATAAATAATAATCTGATATAAAAGATATAAAAAATAATCATTTATTTAAACGTTATGTCATGGCTGAGAGATAAAAAATTCTATACAATTGATATGACATAAAATGACATGAATTTATTAAGTATACTTACTTTTTATTTTTATTTTTTTACTTCTGCATGACAATAACTTACTATTACTTATAACATGTATAATTAATAACTCTGTTTACATTTACATTATTAGAATTAGCATCAAACTCATAAAATTTATAATGTAATAAAATTCAAAATTTGCATGCATTTAAAATGCTTTTTTTTTAAATTAAAAATTAAAATTAAAATTTTAGTAAAATATGAAAACTGTTACTATATACCTACCACCTTTTGTAAAACATGTTTTATGTTAATAAATATCAATAAAATCAATCAAGATGCCGTGTCGCAACGTAACGCCACTTACGCACCACATCATCTTTCGCCGGTTCGTCTCCTGGCCCCTTGGCCGTTGCGCACCACGTGGCATGTAGGTAGTTCTAATTTATATGTAGTACATACATCGCACCGTCACCACTCAGTCGTTGCAATGCATAGTGTGTCATCGCTCTAAGGGAGTCATCATACGTATCGACTCGGAATCAGTCAGAATAACCCGTATGTCCACTTCCCTAATAAGAAAACATCCTTTGGGCCTTTCGCGTCGACGGTCCGAGCAGAAGTGAACCGCGCAGTCTTTTTCGCTTACAAGAACATATTATATTACTTTTTCTGATCGACTAAATCTGATTCCTCGTTAATAAATGTGATAACTCCCTAATTTAAGATTATCACATTTCTTACCAATCTTTACTTTTTACAGTGTCCAACATATGGTTCCATGAGGCTGGACAGGAACTGTTGCGGCCATGTCCTGCTTTATAAATTGGTTTAAAGATTGCAACAGCTTGCAATTTTTACCTATACATAGTAATAAAATTGTAATAAAAATCTTAGTTTTTATTATTCTTAACGACAACAAAATGTATATCTACTATTTTTAGTACCATGTTAATACCCAACTTTTATAATAACAACATCCTTTTCTATAGTTCACAACTTTACGTGGCATTTCTTTTAGGCACAACAGATTGTGGCACTGTCTCATTTGCTTATATTGTCGGACAAAGCTCGGACTCGGACCGTGGCCGTTGTTCGGCGACAAGAAGGTTTTCGACGTTGGCAACCTCAACGGTCTCGTCCGAAAGTTAGGTGGTGCTAACTGCTGGGGATTGATCAATCGCTAATAACGAGTTGAGCATGAGTGTTGTTATTGAATATCGTGCAATAAATGATTCGCACTGCTATTACAAAGCTGTTGTAACTCGAAATATGTGAAAATTAATATTATATCGCACTGTTAATACAGTAGTGAATTAACTCAAAAAGTGTATTTTCTCAGAATCGACGAAAAACGAATTACTCGCTTCCCGTGAAATATCTGTGTAAATTTATGTATATGTTATTTCCTACTTACCAAATATACATATTTAAAAATATTAGAAATAATTTCATGTTTTTGAATAAGGACTACTTTGGCCAGAACCAGCCCACGTAAAGAGTCTCATTTTGAGTTAAATAGTTAAGTAGATAATATATATTTTAGTTGTTTTTTACAACATTCTAACGACGGTTTTATTGACGTGTAGAGAATTAAATTTTACGTTTAAAATTTGATTCTCTACACGTCAAAAAAACCGTCGTAAGAATATTGTAAGAAATAATCAAAAGATATCCACTTAACTCAAAATGAGACACACTTTATGTGAGCTAGTTCTGGCCAAAATAATCCTTAGTCAAAAATATTAAATTATTTTTTCCATTGTATTTTATATAAACTATAACATACATAAATTTTAATGTTTTTTTTGCGGGAAGTGAGTAATTCGTTTTTCATCGATTCTGAGAAAGTTCACTTTTTGAGTTAATACACTATTGTATTAACAGTGCCATATGGAGACACATGGAAAACCCATAATTGCGCCTCCTCTAACTTTTCCTCCTCTATTATTTTTAAAAGTTGGTTCATGTTTTTAATTGTACTTCCACTCTTTAGATTACGAGTTTTGTACATACGTTTTGCATATCTGTTCCCCTATAGTAGGTACCTTTTGCCCTGCAGGGTTTTTGACAATAATTATACATTTGCTAACTAAAAACTACTTCAGCCATTATGAAGTGTACGTTCTTAAATAGTGGTTGCATCCGAAGACGAGAGCTAACAATTTGCTAATAGATCTAACCTACATCTTAATTTACGGGCGAGTAAAATTTCGGTTGGAGATTTGCCCGTGGTGCTGTACTTTGAATTCTATTCTATACTGCAGAAGGAACTCATTTAATTTAATGTAGATATTGTTTATGTATCTCCGGTTACAATAATTTATTTGATGACTCTTTTGATTATTTAACGTGACACTCAGCTGGTCCATTGCTAATTGTATTTGCTTAGGATTTAATGGAGACGTTAGGTGTGCAAAATTGTCTTCTGGACACTAATGATGTTCCGTTATCTGTACAAACAGGATGAAATAACCCGAACCTATTTCCATTACGTTACACAGCTTTTCAGTGGCAACCCCCGAACCATAGCCAGTGTAAACCCTCTAAAGATGCATTTGTAATTTTACGAGATGTACTTTGGGCAGTATCATGTCCATCAGCTCAAGAAACAAACAGTAATTATATTGTAGGATATATCACGGGGAATTGCATGATTTTGTTACGGCTTCCCCTTTCCATCAACGGGGGACTAGACATAACCTGGGGTTCCACCTCTATGTTGTGGATATTCCAAGAGTTTAAACGAAGCGTGTCGCTTCCACATTTATGTGACGAACGGCTTTGGAGCGAAAATCCTTACCTGCAGACTTATTCCTTGAACGCAATAACTTCCGCCTTTTGAAGTGGAGAGTGAATAGGCAGGCCCCATCATTGACCTCACTTTCCATCAGATGAGAAGGTTAAATATGCAAAATATTTTGTTTATAAAAAAGTAATATTGTAAAACTTTATTTTAATCAAACAATTTAATAGAATAGAACATGTATGTTACAGGTTTTAAGTAAAAATAGATATATTAAATATGAGGCGAAGCGATGATTTGTATCCAGTGTACCCTTATACCGCCACCATAGCATATACATAAGTCTACATTATTATTAGTCGACTGCAAGAGGGCAAGGCCACAACAACTCCTGACCAGCCCCATGGATCCGCATGTTAGCCACTGCAAAAGATGCAATAAATACACGAAGGAAGTAAATATGTTTGAGAATTTTGATTGACGATATTTTTAAAATTGCTTTGCTTATAAAAGGACAAAATGAAATGGTGTCCGATAAAAGACTTTTTCCTTCTGTCATTAGACATTACTTAACCAACATAAAAATGTCCGGTTTAAAAATGTTTATAAAACTGTGTCGTCTGTAATGATATTTCGATTTAATAATAATAACCACGCACACATTCATAGCACCAGGGAAACCCTGTATCGCGGGTGCCATGGACATACACATAAGACAACCACAAATTACACCCAAACTCACGAGAGAAATAAATGTAGACCATACAAATATTTCTCCCAGCCGGGAACAGAAGCCGGGACCTCTAGGTGTCAGACCAACCTGGTAACCGTTCGGTCACAGAGGCACATTGGAAGGGAGTGATTCGAAACATAAGATTTTGAGCAGAAATTTCCAAGTTAAAAATCGGAAATTGATACTGGATGAGATAATATGTAGAAAATTAATTATATTTAATTTAAAATAAAATCTTTACATTGTGTCTTTTCCTTTACCATTGCCTACTATCTAGCAAGAAGTATTACTAGATATGAAACATTTAATTATTTTATTTATAAATCATACATATCAATAGGTACTTTGCTAACTTTGTGATAATTGGCCAAGTACTTATTGTTTCTACACAACCCAATTACCTACTTCCTTACTTAATTGCAATTACGCGACCATGTCTTGGGCAGATCTAGCCTTAATAATGAGCATTGACAAAAAATGTTCTTCAACCCTGCCATCATTAATTGCTTAACAATGTTTTGATGTGACAAAAATGAAATGTGCTTTAAAAATCTTGTTATTTTAGTTTCCGTTCATTCTACATTCACGTTTACTATTTGTGTTGAATAAGGAAACTTACCCCACTTACTTCCGTGGAGTACAGGACAAGATGCGTGTAAAGTTCTTACGTCTACTTCTCCGGTTGGATGCAGGTTCATCCAATATAGAGCGGCCCCCTTTTTCGGCCTAACTGCTAATTTGAACTTAGGAAACACTGTTGCTCCGCCTTGGCTCACGTCTGACATCTGCATCAAGTACAAATACAAGTACAAGTGTAGTGAAGAGCAAGCTCTGGCGTCATTCAAGTTTTATATGTTCATTCCTATGTACGTTCGAAAACAATTATCGTTGAAAAACTCGATTTACTAAACTATCTATTCCAATATTTACTTTGTATCTAAGCATTTAGTGATAGGAGCGACCTAATGAGTACAAAATTTTAATGCCAAATATAATGATAAAATTATTTTTCCTAATTTAAAATCAAAATCACTTCCTAGCTAAACAAATTACTAGGGACGTAACGGAAACAGATATCAAAAGTAAATCTTAGCGGAAACAGAAACAGAAGCTGATGCGGAAGTTTCAAACAGGGCTTTTTTGGTTTCATAATTGCAATTAACATATAAGTGTTAAGAAACGCGCATTGACCACCAAGAAATACGCACGCGTGTCTGATCCGGCGCGAATGTTGTTTCGTTACAAAAGTTGCGGTAACCATTGACTTACAAATAAATGGACGACGGGTCTAATACAAAAACCACGAAAGAAATGTCCCAAGTCAACCTATTCGAAATTTAAATTGTAAAGTCTTCGTAGTATCGCGCTGTCAGTCGAACAAATGAAGACTAAAGCGGAGTTTGGCGCTCTGTATACGATTTTAGCGCCTTACAAGTGCGGACACTTTTTAGCGCGGACCCGATGTCCATATAATTGTAAGTCAATGGCGGTAACGCAATAAGTTGTAAAAAAGCGTGAGGAACTTCCTCGGTTGCGGAACCGGAAACAAATATCTGTTGTATTAGTAAAAATTACATTTGAAATAATAAAATTTATTAAACTAATAACACGCACACTCATAGCCCCGCACTAGGGAAACCCTGTGTGGCGGATGCCAATGACACACGCATAGACAACCATAAATTGGACCCAAACTCACAAGAGAAATAAAATGTAGGTCTCACAAATATTTCTCCCGGCCCAGGAATTGAACCCGGAACCTCTGCGTGACAGACTAACATGGTAGTCATTCGGCCACCGAGGCAGATAGAGAGTGTTTATCTATACACTTTATTGCTCACACACAAGAACATAAAAGTAATGTGGGCAAAGGCGGTCTTATCGCTAAGAGCAATCTCTTCCAGACAACCTTTGGAGGTAGAGGAAAGCTAATTGGACCGGGAGATGCAGTGTGCCAATTTTACAAATAAAAAATTATTGTTTAATTAAAAAATTAAAAAATAATAAAATAAAAACACATACTAATTTACCAAATATTTAATAAATAACTATATATTATACCTACACGAATATATGTATATATAAATATACCTAAATGAGTTATACTTAGTTATAAATATATACACGTTGCAGACTAGGACCGTGTTAGAACATATTTACGCAATCCGGTTTTGAAAATAGGTAGCGACTTAGAATGTCGGATTTCAAATGGGGGATCGTTCCACAATTTTGCAGCCTCAATCGTAAGGAATCTTTGTAATAGTCAGAGCGAGTGAAAGGAGGCTTCAGTAAGTTATCCATTTTAGACCTTCGTTCACAGTTGTGAACTAAGGTTCCCCGGGGATCCGGGGAAGCGAAAATGATCCTTAAGGTATGGCCGAATACAAGGACATTATAGAGAAAGCTGAGAACGTGCTCCTCACGGTACAACTTGATAGGGAGCCACCGAAGCCTACTCCTAAATTCGAACACATGATCGAACTTGCGCAATCCGTATATGAATCTAATGCAAAAATTCTGTAGACGCTGAAGTTTGCTTAACAAATCCTCATTGAGGTCAATGAAACAGACATCAGCGTAATCAAGAATAGGTAAGAATAATGATTGCGCAAGTTCAACTTTAGTCTTCACAGGAAGCAGATTTTTCCAACGCCGCAATGAACCAGAGGCAGCAAACACACTACTACTCACCTCTGCGATATGTGGCGACCAAGACAGAGTGGAGTCAAAAAGAACGCCAAGATTTTTAACAACATAACTGTAAGGCAGAGGGAAGGAGTTGAAGAGGAGCGGGGAAATAGTAGCATTATTTAATTTGGCGATCTGCTTCGAGCCTTCAATGACGATGGCCTGCGACTTGTTACGATTGACCGTCAGATCGTCATTGAGTTTGACGATTAAATAGTCCACGTCGTTCACAGTAGACTGAGAATAAATCTGAAGGTCATCACAATACAAGTGATACTGACAAGAAAGTAAGGGAGTTTATAAAGATGGAAAAAAGAAGAGCAGAGAGAACCCCGCCCTGAGGCACACCTGCAGTAACGTCATAGAAGTTAGAATGCTTATTGTCGACACGAACACATTGCCGACGCACAACGAGATAGTGGCGAAACCACCCCACTACCCAATTTGATGCAAGGACAGATTTCAGCATTGCTAACAGGATGTCACAGTCAACAGTGTTGAACACCTTACTGAAATCTAGCAGAACTAATACTGTCACATGTTGATTCGACATACCCTCGCGAATGTCATCAGGTACCTTGGTTAAGGCGGTAATAGTGCTATGCCCTGAGCGGAAGCCAGATTAGAAAGGACTAAGGATATTGTAGGAGTTGACGAATATCGTGATCTGGGGATGGACAAAAACTTTGGAAAGGAACGGGAGAATAGAAATGGGCAGTTTAATTTAATAAAAATAATTCAACGTAAACAAATTTTGTATTGTTGTCTACTCACATAAAATAAGACTGTAGCTATTCGGATTCCTAATCCATAATTAAGTGGAGGATCCTGTGAAGAATATTTAAAGTAGTTACAAGCAATCTTGAATTGAGCGCACGTATTTGTAAGTAATCGTACTTACATCATAATGTAGGTCATAGTGCCCTCCTATACCATAGTTGAGTACCTCCAAAGGTTCAGCATGCTCCGAACTCAAACCTGTGAAATCAGCCGCCCGCTGTTTAACTTTTTCTATAGTATCATTGTACTCATCTAACCACGCACATTGGGCAGTACGGTAGCCTGAAGCTTTTTTTTCCCCGTCACTAATGACAAAAGCGCGATCCAACTGCAATAGAACTCATATTAGTTCGTTAAAACCAAAAGCTAATGTTTTGTTGTGCGCTTCATACCTTTGTACCGGCAATCATTTTCATAATCTCAATTTCACTGTTTGCAAGAACGTCGTGGAAAAGGACCACGACTGGATTCATTAATAGCATCTCCATTTTTATCGGCGCAAGCATCAAAAATGGGCTTCTTTTTAAATAAACGCACTGCAATCTTAAACATAGGACATTGTATGATGAATTACTGGTATTATTTTGTCACAGCAACAAAAGTATAATGGTATTACTTGCTTGTATTTACTGAAGAGATATTTATTTCACCGCGACATAGCTCATAGTAGTGATTCTCTGTATTATTTAAATCTTCTATATTATCCTGTAAATTTAATTTGTTATTCAACTTTTGATTTTTCATTTTATAATACCTACAATAAGTAACTCATTTCTACCATGTACGTAATCATGTTTGGAGCACTGAAGGGAGTCTCGTCGAGTCTTTCGCGCGCGGCTTCAAACCATTTTGCTGCGTACGAACTGTAGTTGTATGGACCTTCTTGTTTGTACAACATCAGAGCCAAACTATAACAGTCACTCCCTGACATTGGAGAACTGAAACAAGAGCGTTTTTCTGTTTTACTTAATATAGGAGCTTACTTTAATGAACGATTTCGTGAAGATAAGTTTGTATACTCGTAAGATTTGTTTCTGTACCACACCACATTCAAGTAAATGAAGTCTAGTATTCTGGGGTACGTTTTACCTAATGTCACGTCATGTGAAATGATAAACATAAATTACACCAACTTATCATCCAAGGACAAAAACGACGATAACGACGGGTCCGTAGAAGGTGGCACTCCTGGTTAGTGAATTTGAGGGAGTAGTTCAACTGCACTACCTCCCCGCTCGTGAGAGCGACAGTCTCTAAAGCCAGGATTGCCTTGATTGTCCAACCTCCAATAAGGAGAGGAACCTCAAAATGTTCATCACATTCAACCCATTTATACGTCCCACTGCTGGGTATAGGCAATAGTCAGCCAAGTTGGCCCTATGAGGGTTGGGGACTTAACACGTTTTTGGAGGATTGTGATCATTCTCGAAGTACAAGTTTCATCTCGATGTTTTCTTTAACCGAAAAACTCATTGTGAATTTCAAACTAATTCTTACACCTAAATTCCGAAAAACTCGGAGGTGCGAGCCCATATTCGAACCAACGGCCTCTGGTTGAGAGGCAGTAGACCAAACCATTACACTACACGGCTGTTAAACTTTACGAAATTAAAATTCTTCTAAGATCTTTAACGCACACCGCGACATCATCATGGTAAATGATTGTTTACCCAAAAACGCCTTTCAGATTTCCTTCAGCGAGCTCTGTAGTGTTCAGCTTGTAATAGTATTGTAGTCGACCAATAGCCACGGCTGCTCCGATTAAGTCTTCTTCGGTTGGATATAACAACTCACGATCCCAAACGAACTCTGTTGGTAAACTACACCTTATTAACAACGGATAGAGCCCCAGATCAATAAGTTTCGTTAAAGATTATTACATTGCCATTGGTATACTTCTAAAGATTTACTACCTTTGATTATTATAAGTTACGGTTTTACATACCCGTGATATCCGAAGCTACGGTTTTCAACACCTCGAAGTCAGTTGATAGTCTTTTTATTAAAGTGAAAGCATTGATTGGATTCTCTACATACTTTTGTGCATTTCTATTTGCCTTCTCATGTTCATTTGTAAATATGTTTAGGTACCTGAAAGTATAGGCACAAAAACCAATAGGCAGAAAGAAGTAGGGGGTAACAACTGTGCTCAAGATAAACAATAATTATTCATTGCCTTTTCAATATACTAAGTCTATTTTCTTCTACTTCAATGTACTGTTCTAAGGTGTTAAGCACATTTTCATGTGTACGCAACAGACTCTCTACATTTTTGATAGCAGTGAACACTTCACAATTGACCACCGTGAGTAAAATAAAAACATGAAAAATATGCAAGATAGACATAGTTTAATGGCTTTTTTCGATACTCTTTATCTTTTTTCAAATAAAGAAACGTCTTTTATATGTGCCATTCCTTGTCATCTTTGAACGAAAACAAATATGGTTATATATGGGGTGTAATGTTACTTAGACCTATCAGTTATCAGTTAGAACAGCTCTGTGTTAAAAGCTGTGATGCACATGCATCAGTTGTTAAATTCAACAAATTATTATTATTAATTTCCTTAAATTTATATAAACCTTAAGTTTATTGAAAATCACATTCATAATTACAATATCCTATAGCTACGCCGTGGCTGAATGAAACGAAATTAAATTAAAGATGCTGGTTCAAATCTAACCGGATCGAAGCAATTTTTCTTAGTGTTCGATCTTTGTGTTTATAATTTATATAAATTCTTTTGTTACTATAAATTGTTACAAAAAATGGATATAAATTGAATTTATTTTAATTTTTGCACGGAGAGTCAAGATTTGGGTCCTTTACTATGACTACACGTTTTTGTAACACCTTGTACATATTTCTTTCCAACACGGACAAGCAAACAAATTTGTATTTTTGACAATACATTTTTTATGTTGACATTAAAGAGACATTATGCTATAAATTATCGCAATCTTCTTGCACAAGCAAGAAATATATTTTCAGTTACAAGAACTAAACTCAAAATTTAATTAACATTAAAAAATAATTAAATTAAAAAACTTTGCTTTGCTTGCCATTTTAGCTTAGTCAAAATGAAAATTCGTTTCATAAAATTCAACCATTCTCTGTAATACCTAACAACTGTTATAATTATTAAGGTTTACTGTTTTTGCGAGCTATGTTGGTCACTTTAGTTATCTGACGTAGATAAATCTCAAAATATGCAGTATTTTGAGGAATTCAATGCGTCCGCAACAAATGCAAGCATGCCATACTATTTTTGTGGATATACACACATCAAAAAAAGTTTGCGATCACTTCGAAAAACTGAAATCTTTTTTGTTACTGTAGATTATATTATGATTTAAAAATTAAAAATAAATTAGAACAAAATTAAAATATTTAAAAATAAATTAGAACATAAAACAATGACCCCGTTCAATTGTTTTTTCATATAAAAAGGCTTTCAGTCCTAGCTTACGCTCATTCAGAAATCTGATTTAGTCAATTATAAGCGATTCAAGATATTTTTCGCGGAAAGTTGTGATTGAAAAAATGCCAAGAGGATTATCAGAGGTTTTACGAGCTAGAAAAGTAACTTTGAGGGAAGAAGGATACACCACGAGAGTAATAGCACGCAGACTTGCTATATCCCAATCCTGTGTCGTGGCTACGTTGCAGAGGTATCACGGAATGGGGAATTTAGCTGACCGACCCCGCAGCGGTCGCCCAACTGTTTTGACAGCTGCCCAAAAGCGCTATATTAGATTGCTGGCAGCCCGTGATCCAACAATCAACGCCACTAAAATAAAAGCAGAAGTCAGGGCCGCCTCTGGGCTTGAAGTTAGCACGCAGACCGTTCGCAATTGCTGGCACCAGGCTGGATTACGAGCACGGAGGTCTTGGCGAGCTCCGCTCAATTCCCGGCAACGTCAACAACGAAGATTGCAGTGGGCTAGATTTCGGCAAAATGAAGAAGGTGAGGACGAAAACATTTGGCAAAACTGTCTCTTCGTTGACGAATCCCGAATCAGCACTCATCCAGATAGCCGACGTGTCCGTGTCTGGAGAAGACCAGGCGACCGTGAAAGACAAAGAACTGCCACTGGAACAGTTCAGCAAGGCGGAAAATCGGTGTCCTTTTGGGGTGGCATTATGATTGGAGCTAGAACGCCTTTGATCCCGTATCGGGGCTTCATGACAGCAGACATGTACAAAGCAGTTGCTATTGATGATATCGTCAGACCATTCCGAGTAAACCATGGGCACCAATTTGTACTGGTCGATGATAATGCGCCCGCACATCGAGCTCAACGAGTCAATGCTGCTCTTCAAGAATACTATATCACACGATTAGACTGGCCTGCCGGCTCGCCCGACTTAAACCCAATAGAGCACGCGTGGGATGCTCGTAAACGAGCAGTATGGAACCGTGAGCCACGTCCCCAAACAGTTCCAGAGCTCAGGGAAGCCGCTATTGAAGAATGGGATAGGTTACCCCAGGAAATGCTGGATAACTTGATCCTCAGCATGCCCAGGAGGATCTTCGCATGTATTCGAGCCAGGGGAGGAGTTATTTTATATTGAATTCACACCTTTTAATAATAAATTGTTGTTTAAGTTTAATTAAACAGTCTTTTTCTTTCTATGAAATTTCTATCACTATTACATTATGATTAATGGCTCAATTTTTTTAAATAAATAATAAAAAATAGTTTTATATTTTAATTTCAAACAGGGTATTCCTATTTAAAGAAAGCATACAACATAGATTTTTTCTTGATAAAGTTAAATTTAAAGAATTATAGGAGCTTATGCTATTGATCGCAAACTTTTTTTGATGTGTGTACATACCTATACACACATTTTTCGCTGTTAAAGATGAGAATGCCATGAAAATATATTTCGTGTTAATTTTAAAATAACCCTATAAGTAAAAATCTTGTCTATGTATGCATGTAGTTCCGATCCGTCGATGTATTTGACCGGTATTAAACCGGTCTGGCAAAAATTTGTTTTGTTTTAATGAAATCATCCGCTTTATTTGTTAATTATTTAGTATATTTCAATAAACATTTCCGTATAATTAAATTGGACTACGTTCCTGTCTAAACGCATTCTATTCATACTAAAGTACCCACAAGATTAAGCAAAAAAAAAAGTGAACAATTAACTAACAAAGTTGATTCAAGCAGTATTTTAGTGTTTTCAGCATCTATGTATCTATTTGGCAAATATTTGTAAAAAAATCAATTATACACCACCGCCATTGATTTTACGATCGACGCATATCCTAAGGGTGCGTTCCCATTATGTCGTGATGACAGATAGTCGTTCAGTTTAAAGTGTCGTTAAATATACAAATATTTAAGTGAAGTTGTTCACGCATAGAACAACACGATTCACTGTCGTTCATGACTATATTGACGTTACGACTATAGATTGTCATCACAATGGAGATGATGAGAATGAAGAGCTAGAACGACAGTCGTCCGGCGATAAATAGAACATCACGATGAAAATGTGACGACAGACAAGGCGGCTGCCGTGAACCGATAAATTGTCGTCACGATCTAGTGGGAACAGACAGACTAGACACGACAGTCGTTCAACGATAAAATAAACATCCACGACACAGTCACGACTATCTAGTCGTGATATGGGAACAGGCAAGACGCGACAGTCGTCCAACGATAAATAAAACGTTACGACAAAATGGGACCGCGCCCTTAGTGCCTTCATATGACAATGTTTCTATTGACGACGTTCGTAATTCGTCACGCGTTTTTAGATTCGAAGAAACTAGGTTGGCGATAAATTATATTTTATGATGTTTATTTTTTATTCTCAATTCAATGAACTACAAAATAAAACACCACTTTTACATATTGACTACCTACCTAGCTACATTATGTACTGCTTAAGCGCCAAACGTACAAGAATTTCAATCTAGACCAGTTTTCGAGTATGGTTACAATACAAATTATGACTAATTAACAATAGCTAGGTTTAAAATGATTATTCTAGGAAAAAGTAATTTTCATGGCTTCGATTGTGAATCAAATAATTTACGACATTTTTACAATGAAAGTATATTATATTTATTTCTTGATCTCGTATGTTCCAGTAAATTAAAATGTCTTACGTGAAGTTATACATTATCCAAATTGGTGTCTTTGTAACTTTATTGACCTTAGTAAAATGTGAAGTGTATACTGCTGTCACGGATCTAGAAAAATTGTGTAATACACATGAGAATGTGCTTAGAAATCTAGAGCGGTACATTGAAGTAGAGGAAAATAGACTTAACGTATTGAAAAGGTAGTACAATAATTGTGCTTGTCTCATATAACACTCGTATAATACTGCTGATTTTAGGTACCTAAAACTATTTACAGATGAACATGAGAAGATGAGCAGTGACGCACATAAGTACGTTGACAACGCAATTAATGCGTTCACATTAATAAAAAGACTGTCAACTGATTTCGAACGGTTAAAAACTGTAGCTTCGGAGCCCACGGGTAAGTAAATTAAATTAAATTTTATATTTCGCCGTCTCATATATCAAAGAGAATTTTCTCTTTCATATTATATTTTTTAACTTACCCTCTGTGTCCCAAAATATCTACAAGCAAGGAAAGTTACAAAATTACAGTAAAATCATCAAGTCCTGTTTTTTCTGTTTCGGAAATCATAACTTTTTTATAATATCAAGCGATGGGACGAATAAGTCCTGCTCCTGATGGTAAGCTAATCGCCTGCCTATAACAGTTGCAGTGCCACTCAGAGCTTAAATCGCAAAGATCTGAGGCTGCCTCTGCGCCCGTCACACTGAGACACAAGTTGACAAGTCCCATGTGCCTGTAATTTCACCAGCAAACTTACCCTTTTAAACCGGAACACAGCAATACTACCATTACTGTTTGGCGGCAGAAATAGGTAACTTCCCTGGACGAACTCTTTCACAAGATGCTCTACTACTGCTAAACTACTCGAAAACTAAAAAACTTTGGAGGAAAGTTGTTCAAATAAATGAGAATTGTTTATTTCACAACAGAGTTCGTTTGGGATCGGGAGATGATATATGCTACAGAAGAAGACTTAATTGGAGCAACAATGGCTATTTCTCGACTACAATCTGTGTACAAATTAAACACTACACATCTAGCTGAAGGAAATTTGCAAGGCGTTATTGGGTAAAACACATAATGACCACGACTCTTTCAGAATTAACGAGGTAGCAATTAAAACGTATAAATAAGCTTTTCATTTCTCACGCTCGTAAAGCAAGATATAAGATTCGAATAAGTGGACTAAAGTTGTACTTCTTCACCCTAGAGTCGAAATAATTTTTGCTTTCCAAGACAGCTACAGTCAGGTACAGTAAACAGCGAATGTATAGTAGTAATTCAATCAAATACCATCGCATTTAAATGTTTGTTCAATATTTTTGAGACATTCAGGAATTACGTTGCTTGCTTACTTAGTATTGGACTCTCAGTTCGTAATTATGTATTTGACAATATAAGTGTTTAAATCTAGTAAATAGAATTTTTCAAAGGGCTAAGCATTCCCACTTTATAATACGATGGATGATGATGGAATTCTTACAAAATCGTACTAATTAGTTGCTTTTCCGATTTTGGCGTGACTGTACCGGCAATATACAGGTATCCGATTAAGTTCAACCGTGGTAGGCTAACACATAGCTAATGTGAAGCCTATACCCAAAAATGTACCTCGACCATCTCCAAACTCTGTCAAATTATTTGTATCACCGCATAAACTAGGGCTTCCTCGGTAATCGCATGTTTGGTTTCATCGTGGTTAATGTAGTTGAAATCTTCTTGCTCAGGAATGCGATTCACCATAGAACGAAGTAATTGAAAAGCATGGCAAACTTCTCGCCGAATTGTCATTTCAATAGCATTGGACAGCGTTTGTCAGGAAATCCTTATTGTTAAACTTCCACCCAATTATTCTGTCTTTCTGAGACGTATCTCGAGGTCTGAGATATTTTGCCAACCCGAATTTCGACCAGTACACGTCAAATTCACCTTTGTATAGAGCACCGTTGTCATTTTTGGCACCTATAATCCTGCTACGTGCTATACTCGTTAGACGGTTAAACTCAATTATTTATTAGCAACAGCTTTTTTGCAACGACAACCGGGGCTTAAACGCGTCGTCGAGCAGCCTGCCATTCAATATTTTACAGAATTCATTCATTTCGAGAAGCGTGCATAAGTATTACCATACAGAATAATTATGCCACCCACTCCTTTCCGTCATCGTTAAACCAAAAATGAGATTTTTCACCCTTATACATAGTGTAGATACTCCATCAATTAGTAGAAAGCGTTTTCGTTCAGCGTTTATTATGCATTAGACTAAGGCGTAGAACTGGGCCATATTTTAATTCTGTTTGCTGTGACTATGATATTAGCGCCCATAAATCAATTAGGTTCTATTTAGTTCTAAAGATACAGTAAAAGAAATGCCTTTGTTGTAGTTTTCCGATGACAGCGAATGACTGCTACGAATTAGCTCTGATATTGTACAAGCAAGAAGATCCGAACATCAGTCGGCAAGCTGCAGAGTGGTTCGAAGCGGCTCTCGAAAAACTCAATAATGAGCAGAACGAGAATACATTTACAGCTATTGAAGTAATGACGTACATCGTGAAGTCCTATCATCGGTCGAATATTAACTTAGGTTGGTTATTGCTAAATGACAGAAAGATCGAAGTATCGAGACACTGCATTATGACTTTAAAAATTGTTTATCAAATTCTTGTCTTCCTTGGCAGACATAAAAGCTTACGCGTGGGCAGAAAAACTACTTGCTTTAAAACCTAACGACCGCACTGATTATGTTACGAATTTTTACAAATATGCTGTGACACGAAACAACGTAAGTAAGAAAGGCTAAAAAAGAAATGTCTACTTAACAGGACGACAGGTGGATATTTGAATTTTTTTTTGCAATATTTTTCCGTTCAGTAGCTGAGCACCTACTACTGTGTCAAGCCAATGACAATCGTGTTACTTGTGGATTCTTCGCCACTTGTACCTACCAAATATAGAATTTAAAATGCAAAGTTCTGTGATTATGTAAGCACATGTGTCGATTACAGACTAACTCCACTGAAGTTGCCTCATGGAATAAATATTCCGCATTATGTCGCGGTGAAACTGATGTCCCTGCAGCAAGTTCAAGCAAGTAATGTCATTTTTAGTTATGTCATATTATCACAAGTGAATGGGAGTCATTCCTGAAAAATTCATTTCATACATTGTAGATTACATTGCTGGTATTTAAGAAATATTCCATTTCTGAAACTGGCGCCGATCAAGATGGAGGAAGTTCACAAGGATCCAAATGTTTTCATCTTTTATGACGTCCTCAGCGACGACGAGTTTCAAAACATAAAAACAATAGCCGGTCCTAAGGTTTGTAGGCAGACAGTACCGTTTCATTTCTTTTTATTTATGTCTTTTATAGAGTTCTAACAAATTTTTCGATTGCTTTCAATATGTACAAAACCACACACAGAGTTTTTTTTTATACTGGACATTATGGGGAAATTCAAAACCATAGAAGATGCAAGGAAATTGTCTTAGGGACTATTAAGTCTTATTTTGTGAAAACAGTTTTGGTATAGTCAATTTTTTTATTCAAGCGCGAGTTGCCCTTAAAAATGAATGATGTCCCTGCAGCAAGTGCAAGCAAGTAATGTCATTTTTAACATTACTATCTTGATGAATGAAGAAAATTGATCAAAATTTTTTTGTGCTTATTGACTTAGGCTCGTATTCCAGAAGTGTACTCAATACTCAAGTCAGGACTTGAGTATTGCAGTGAGCACTGAAAATCATACTCAAGTCCTTGCCATTAGGGTCGTATTTCCAGTGCTTGATATCATACTCAAGTCTGCTCAAATCCTGACTTGAGCATTGAGTAGAGTTCTGGAATACGACCCTTAGTTTCCTGAAGGAATCATTTCATTGTATAGGAGTGGGACAAAAAAATCGGGACAACAGAAGTTAGTATCATAAAATGTCTTTCATACAAAATAAGTAAAATTGACTAATTGCTTTTTAATACTTGTAGACTCAGCTTCTTGTAAGGATGATTTCATAGTACGAGACGAAAAAATCGGGACAGCAGAAGGTGGTCAATTTTAATAAAATTATTTTTTTTCAAAATGAATAAAACTGACTAGTTTGTTTCAAACTAATAACTATTTTTTTATGCTGCTAGACTCCATTTTTTATAATAATGATTTTATTGTATTGGCAGAAAACAATCGGGATAGCAGAAGTTGGTCATATATAATAAAACTTATTCATCTTGTATTAATTTTTTTATTAAATCGGACGGACTCTCTTCTTCTCTGTCCCAATTATTTTCTTCCGATACAATGAAGTTATTATCCTCTTAAGAAACTGAGTCCATTAGCATCGAAAAAAAATAGTCCATTTTATTCATTTTGTATGAAAAATATTTTATGATATTAGACCAACTACTGTTGTCCCGATTTTTTCGTCCCGTATAACGTATGTAACTAAGTAGACGAAAACACCAACACTAAAAAAAGTTTGAGCCATTTTATTCATTTTTATGGACTACTCACACTTGACCAAAAAATTTACTATGCCAAAATTGTTTTCACAAAAAAAGACTCAATGGTATTCCGAAGACAGTCTCCTTGTATCTTCTATGGTTTCGCATTTCCCCATACTGTCCCATTTAAAAAAAGATACTCTGTAAACCCTCTTTTCTGCCCCGCAGTTGGAACGCGCCAGAATAGTTGGTGATATTTATGCAGAATATCGTATTGGTAAAAGTGCATGGCTATACAACAACATTGATGTTGTAGCAAAGCTGAGACAGCGTACGGCTGATTTTACGGGGCTCAATATTTCACACGCTGAGCCATTACAAGTGCTCAACTACGGGATAGGAGGCCATTACATATGGCACTACGATGCCTTTGATGTAATAATAATTAGTTTTTATATTTTGTGTAATAATCAGTTCAGAAAAGAGATAAAACACGCGGTTGGTAAAGAATTGTTATCGCTTGAAAATTTCCTGATAACGTTTTACAAGTACATGTGTACCTATAAGGTAAGTGGTCTTGCGAGATTTCAATTGAAAACATCTGACTCTCAACTGGAGCTTAATGAAATCAATCGCATTTTTTATTAAAACACATAATAAATTCATATATATTACTTGATAGATTTGAACCTATCAAACAGTTTAATCAGAAAACATGCCCCTTAAATCCCACTACATAAGAGTCAGATTTTTACAGTGTTAGCACGCAGTTTTCATTGAGAATGTAAAAAGAAATGATTGTGTCTTTATTACTTATTTATATTTTAGTTGAAGCTTTACTGCCAAAGGAATATAGGTACAGAAAAATGCACTTTGTTAATAAAATCAAAATCTTGAAAATTACCCTATTGCGTTTCAATATTCCACATACAGAACGAAAACTCCGATGTGGCGACTTTAAATGGTTTTTGTGGAAACTTACTTCAAACTTCTTCGAATTTGTCAACTTAGAATTTACAAAAATGATTACATCTAAAAAAATAATACTACTAAATATTTATTAACATGATTTAAAACGCTATGTAGTAACTATGCCGCTTTTCGCTTTTCACAATCGTGGGTTAAAAAAACCCAAAATTTCCTTATTTAGTTATGCTTTTCTTACAGAGTGGCCAATTCAATAAAGAAGATGGAAACAGAATAGCTACAGTTCTATTTTATGTGAGTATTTCTACAAACATGAAATACATTTGTTACATAATTTCTACTAACTTGAAATTTTGTACATTATCATTTATTTTTGACGCAGATGTCAGATGTCAGTCAAGGTGGAGCGACTGTGTTTGCCCAACTAAACCTGACAGTAACACCGAAAAAGGGTTCAGCTATATTTTGGAATAACCTGCATCCTACCGGAGAAATAGATAAAAAAACGTTACACGCGGCATGCCCAGTATTATACGGAAGTAAATGGGGTAAGTAAATAAACACCTTTATTCTACCATGCTGTCAGACATCTAGAAAAAGAAATGTAACCAATTACTAGAAACCTAATATTTGTGCGAATAATTTTTAACATTATAAGATTATAAGAAATTAGGCTAGCAAAGTGATGCTTTTTTTACAAAAATGATTTTCTGTATGTTAAATCCAAAGTCTTCTCAACGTCTTACTTAACATTGTCACATCTTTTCAGTGTCCAATATATGGATCCATGAGTTTGGTCACGAGCTGTTGCAGCCATGTTCTGCTATATAAATTGGTTTGAAATTTCAAACCACTTGCATTGTTTACCTATGTTGTAAAACTTAAATTAAGATTTAACAAAAATATCGATATCTAGAATGTCGAATTAAATCAGCAGCTATTTACCTCTTTACCTTTAATCATCGAGATCAATCTAACGTGTTCGATTTCGATATGTCTACCTTTAATAAAACATAGTTCCTGTGTCTACCTTCCTACTCCATCATCAAATCCTAGTAACCGTAGTACTCGTCGAGGCCAATTCAATTTGCCCACAATTTCAAAACACGATAATTTTGCTAAGTAGCTGTAAGTAGTTGAGGTTTCGGTAGTCTGCAGACTGTCTTGGTTGCAGCATCTAACTGTGAAATGTGCTGCTGATCTTTGAATAACTTAGCAGATATTCATAGCTAAAAACCATTCCGATTAAACTAAGTCGTAATATAAAAAGAATCCGCTGTGAAATCAATCCGTCGGTTTAGGAGCTACCTACACCTTTGATAAAATTCCACAACGATTAATCACAAAATCATTGAGACAACACTTTATTACAATACCATAGAAAATATAAAGCGTTTTTATGTAGATACATGGGGCATAGTAAAAGTTCCTGGAACTAGAACTAAAAAAAAAAACAAATAAGAAATTTGAAAAAGGAACTGTCTGTGAGTAACGTTCTTTTTACTTTAAGAGATTGTCATTTGTTTTTTCATTGTGAGTCTCTATTATAATAAATTTGAGTCGTGAATGTTTTCGGTCCGCGATTTTCTACGATTTTCGATGTGACTTCAGTCAACAAGAGAGTTGTCAGAGACTTCAATTGGCTTTGGTGATGAAGCCCTATGTCGTAGTTCTGGCTATTCGTGGTTCAATGAATTTAGACGTGAACGTGATCATCTCCATGACGATGTACGTAAAGGTCGGCCGGCAACTGCGATTAAGTCCCACATTTCGATACCTCCAATGAACACTACGCCATATTTATTTTTTGGTCATCTTCTGTTATTTTTGTAAACAGCCATATTTATTTGCCTTAGTAAGTATGGCTGCTTAATAGAAATATAATCTTAATCGTGCTCCCCGAATTTTGTGAAAAAAAGAAACAAGAACAAAAAAAAACGAATTTTGTTGAAAAAAGAAACAAAAAACAAAATAAAAACAGAGCAGGTCCAAAAATTAAGTTGGCTTAGTGTTCATTGAAGGTGTCATTTTAATATTGATACCGTACGACAACTGATTAAAAGTGACAAAAAAATTACTTGTCAACAAATTATACATTCCAATGCCAATGCCTAATATGTACTGTATTAGGCATTGGAATGAGCGAGGTGCAAAAGATATTGCATGTGCATCTGAAGGTTCGGAAACTTTACACTCGATGGATACCGCGTGATTTAACGAAGTATCAGAAACGACTGCGTGTAGAGGAGTTCCAAAAAATTATAAAAAAAAGTTTAATGTAGGACAATTATTGGCTGTATATAATATCGTGACAGTTGACGAAATATGGGTGTACTGCTTTGAACCGGAAAGAAAAAGCCAGTCCGTAGAATGGGGCTGTTCTTTTGAAGATTTGCCGACGAAAGTTAAGAAAGGTCGGAGCACTGTTAGCATCTTTCTTCAACAAATCAGGACATTACACTACTGTAGCGCTTGAAGACCAAAGGATACTGACTACAGATTGGTACGTAAACACCTGCTTGCCCAGAGTTTTAGAAAAAGCTCGCGAAAAGCGTCCTCGAAACAATATCATCCTTCACTATGACAACGCCTCTGCATATCCGGTAAGGTAACGAATGCTTCAGGAATTTAAAGGCCTTAAATATGGAGCTCATGACCCATCCGCCATACAGCCCAGACGTTGTACCATGCGACTTCTTTTTATTTCTAAAAATCAAAGATAAACTTAGATTTTTACGATATGCAAGCCCGGAAGTGGCGGTGAATGCGTACCACGAAGCCATTAAAGAGGTCCCTACGAAAGACTGGTCCCACTGCTTTTCACAATGGTCCCAACGAATGCAAACAAACACAAAACAATACATCTTTTATAAACATAATATCTGGTCTTACTTATCAGAATCCAGAAATGTTCAGTATGGCCTAAATAGATTTAATAAAGACGTATTTTTTCGCGTTTTTTTTATACCTAAAATCAGCATCCGCTGATGTTTAAAACAAATCTGCATCCGCTAATATTAAAAAACCTGCATCAACAACAACCCTGGTCCCTACGTAGGACTTGTAGGGACAAGTCCTTCCCCCCTAGTGATGTGTTTTACAAGTGGATTTGTTTTCACTCATCCCTACCACACCATCACTGGTTGGGAAAAATGGACGTGGATTTAGTACCCCTCTGTACAGGCATAAGCGTGAAGTTTCTGTCTTACTGAATAGTGGCTCCTTCTGATTACTATTGTAATTTTAATTATATAACTAATTTGATATGTAATGTTATAAATGTATGTAAGTGTGTATATAATAATATATGTAAGTGTATGGCTATACAGCATATAATTTTTATCTATTAATTCTTTTACTTAATTAATTTCTCCTTATTTGCATAAAAATGAAATTTTGAAATATAATTCCACAAAACTACGCGCATGTATCATGCGAGTCATAGAATGCCTTGATTGTCACCACATAGTCACACATTTGCGGAACACGTTACTGGTTCATATTTATTCAATCTTGCTTCTTCAATGTTTGTTGTTTGTTTATTAGATCAAAAGCTTCGTAATCCCATTTTTAATGGCCTTCTATTCCGTACTTAGTACTTGTAATGGTTCATAGTGTGACATACTGAGCCCATCAGCCGTACCTAAGCCGTCTCAGCTTTGCTACAACATCAATATTGTCGTATAACCATGCGTTTTTTCCAATACGATATTCAGAATAAATATCTCCACTTGATCAGAATAAATATCTCAACTTATTTGCATTGAAAAATTAGATTTTTCAATGCAAATAAGTTGAAATTTCACATTACTACTTTTCTGATACATACCACTTATTTGCTTATTAGGTTCTTAATTTCCAATATGGTTACAACACAAATTATGACTAATTAACAATAGCTACATTTAAAATGATTATTCTGGGAAAAGAAAAGGAAATTTTCATGGCTTCGATTGTGAATCAAATAATTTACAACATTTTCACAATAACAGTACATTGTACTCATTTCTTGATGCCATAAGCTTGAATGAGTTAAAATTAAAAGGGAAAGAAATACACGAAAGTTATGTCTTGCGTAATCTTACACATTATCCAAATTGGTGTTTTAGTATCTTTAATGACCTTAGTAAAATGTGAAGTGTTTACGGCTGTCACCGATATCAGGAAATTGTTTAATACACATGAGAATGTGCTTAGAAATTTAGAGCGGTACATTGAAGTAGAGGAAAATAGACTTAACGTACTGAAAAGGTATTAGAATTTGTGCTTGTTTCATATAATACTCGTATAATACTGCTGATTTTAGGTACCTAAAACTATTTACAGATGAACATGAGAAGATGAGCAGTGATGGACATAAGTACGTAGACCACCCAATCAATTCATTCACTTTAATAAAAAGACTGTCAACTGATTTCGAACGATTAAAAACTGTTGCTTCTGAGCCCACGGGTAAGTTACTCAAACTACATTCTTTTATGTTCGTACTGTGTCCCAAAGTGTCTGACTGCCCAAAACGATTTTAATTCTAAAAGAACCTTTTTTTTTAGCAAGCATAGAAAAGCTTCAAAATTACCGTATCATCAAGTAGTTTTTTACAGAACAACAATCGTTGAAATAAATAAACTCAAGTGTCTCGATAATGAAAGACACAAATTTGAATTGGTTGCATAAAAATAGTTTTCTATGTTAGATCGTACCCAAATTCAGAAACGTCAAATGAAATTATATATTGCTTTAACCAAAAATACTAAAAGATCTCTATACGACTTAGGGATTATAGTGAATATAGTTTAAAATCATCAGAATTTTGCAAAGCTCCTTTCTTAAAACGCTTACTCCATAACTCCCAACCAATCTATATAATTTTGTCTAGACAATTTACTACGTTATTTTCATGTACCGTGTCGTCACTTTATTAGATAGACCAGAGTACAAAATTTCAAAAAAAAAAAAGACGCCATTGGATTTAAATGTTTTTGTTATTCTTCCATTGCTAGGTACTTTTATGTTAAAGATTATACTTTGGAAAATAATAACTGAAATTGGCCACAAAAATGGTAATGAAAATCGTTTTCATGATAATGATCCATCTGTGACCATGACTTCCTTTTAAGTGTTGGAGACCGAACTACGGAAGCTAAGTGTTACTTGAAATCTATATACCAAGCCGTTGACCAAGCCGTATGACCTTACGTCGTAATTAAGTGGCAAAATATAATAAGTGCTGTAGACACTTCGAATGAAGATTACAATATTTAAACAAACCTCCAATTGTAAGCTTAAAATGTTGAAAAGTTTAAATTATTTATTTTATTGAATAGCATGATGTTTTAACTACCATACTATTCACATATTTTTTTGTGAAAATACTGCACATAAATAAAAATTCCTTCGATCTAGCTGGACTCTAACCAGGAACATCATCATATTGGGGTTATAGCTGCCCCAACTGAGCTGCGGAACCAGTCAGCAGACCGTACGAATTTTTCTGGGCCTTTTTTTACAGATCTTTGTTAATTTTGAATTATTCTTTACTAAGCCCAACAACAATCAAATAATTAAAGGAAAATTCAAAAAAGTACCTAGTCTCTTTTTGGTAACAGAGTTCGTTTGGGATCGGGAGATGCAATATGCGACAGAAGAAGATTTAACTGGCGCTGCTGTGGCTATTTCGCGACTACAATTCGTGTACAAGTTGAACACTACACATCTAGCTGAAGGAAATCTGCAAGGCGTAATCGGGTAAAGCACGTAAACTACCGCAACACTTTCAGAATGAACATGGTAGCAATTAAGATATATAAATATGCTTAGCATAGGTGAACTAAAGTTGAAACAATTATTGCTTTTCAAAACCGGGACAATTGTAAACAGCCCGTTTTAATTAAAGCTTGCTGCTAGATAGCATTACTTAAATTGGGCCGCCTATCTTTTCTTCATTTGAAAATGAATTCAGAAAAAAGAAAACCACACATGGCCCGATCCTTGGCTTTTTATTTAATGTGTATTATTGTTTTATTTTCTCGCAGTCAAAGTGAAAACAGATGTTGAACTTTGGTCTAATATCTTTTAAGCTACGTTTCTCGCGCAACTAAGTTTATCGTTTAAATATTTACATTATCTACTATCAACACAGATGAGAGACATTGAAATACTTTGCAATTCCCGTTTCAGGTCAAAAGTATCTGAAATAATTTTGAACTTACTTTATATTCCAGTTTTATAGGACCAATCTGACCAAATGCAATCGAATTAGTTTGTTTCTTCTTTTCACACGTTTCAACCGATTTCATAAGAAAAGGAGGTTCTCCTTTGGAGGTTAATTCGACTGTGCTTTTTTGTAGTTTAGATTAACTTAGGACCCGCAGTTCGTAATTGTATTTTTGATAAAATTCTTTACATTTATATAATTAAACAAGAAGTTGTAAACACTCAAAACGTTAATGTGACGAGTGGCCCCTAGTGGTTTTCAGCTGGCTATAGTCTTGGGAAACAACTTCTATGACTTCCTCTGTGACCACCTGTTTGGTATTCATCGTGGGTATGTTCTTGTGTAAGTATGCCTGTCACGTATAAAGTGAACATGGAGTGAACCCTTGAGAAGCACAGCGAAAATTTTGATAGAATTTGGCACGATATAGTCATCGCCAAGTCATTCCGTCTTTCTCAGATGCATCTTTGCATTCATTTAGAGCTCTCAGTATTATACATCTTTCTATTAACCTTTATAACTTACCTAACCTTTATAACTTTATAATATTTATAACCTCTACAAGTAAATTGCGAAAACTGCAGCAAAGAATTTTGGTAGCCACATCAAAGTCAAAAGTACACATCGAAACAGTCGAATCGATTAATCTATACGGAACTCATGTTTTTGTTAGATGCCCTGAACTCATTAGCGCGCCCAAAGAAAGTGTTCATTAGTAAGAACTTGCTCGTAGAGGTGAACTTCCAAAGCTAAAACGTGTGGTCGAAGGCAGCCTACTTTCGATCTTTTATAGAGTACACAAAAAGTCAAACCAAAATGGTGAAGGAGTTCACCCTGGTAGTCCTTAATGTTCGGATAATTCATAGGAAAGCGTTTTAATTCGATGTGCACTACAGCACAAACAGGTGGATGGTATGGCAAAGAACATTAAATTTATCAATGTATATTAATAAATATTAATACATACATCGATAAATTATTACAATTGAAATAAAGTATGTATTTCAATGTTCTGAGACGCACAGAGACATGCCCCACGACGTTCTGAGTTCGATCACAGAGCATGGCAATTTATGCCTTATTTCATTTTTCAATAGCATAAAATATGCATTGATAAATTTAATGTCGTTTGCCTTCCCGTTCGCCGGTTTGGCTCTGCCCTAATATGAACGCGTCTATAATGCAAACGTTTACAACCTGAATATTTTAAGGGCAAATGGAATAGGCAACTTTTAGGCAAGCTTGTTCTTGTCTATTTTCGTTGTAAAGTGAAGGTGGGTTGTGGACAAACATAAGCATTATATGTTTAAGATAATGGATTACAGATTTATAAGCATCTTGGCAATCCATTGTCTGAGTTGTCACATTAAATGTGTAGTTACCATCCATCGGGTATATAATCAGAAATAGAGACGAAATGTCATTTAATTTGAAAACTATTCTACCATGTCATTACTGTGACAACTGCGCTCCGATTGGCTAGCCGTATTCGTAACAATTGACGGGTGTTGTCAATGGGTGTCGTGAATTGTTTCACTTTAAATCGACTAGTTAACTTGAGCTTTGCTATAATGGACGAAAATTGCAAAATTAGTTTTTTAATATTTAATTACCGATGAAATTTGGTTCCGTTTGTTTTGTAATTAGATGTTTTGCTGTTTTTCCCCATACCAACAAATGGTACAGCACGCCATTGTTAGATATCTTTATTACAATAAATACAGAATATTTTTGGAACATACGGAGACGTACACACTGGTCAGTTGTTGGCGCTGTCCTGTTTCAGCTTTCTTATTTGTAATTTCAGTGCAAACGAGAGTTGATATTTATGTGATGTATCCCTGATGAGTTATCAGGAATGCATGGCCCTTATATCGTCTCTATTTCTGAATATATACTCGATGCTACCATCATTTGAACTCTTGATGCTGGTGAAATTTGTAAGTGTGGTAGATACATGTTCATCAATAGCTTTGACGATGACATTAGTGCCCATATGTCTAGTAGACTCTACTTAGTTTTAATAATAATAGGAAAATGTGTGTAAGAGGTTACACATTGACCTGTAGGTCAATGCTCCTACATAACATAGCAGATAAATGCTTACGTTACAGTTCTCCGATGACAGCAAGCGATTGTTACAATTTGGCTTTGATGTTGTACAAGCAAGAACATCCGGACTATAATTTGCACGCTGCCGAATGGTTCGAAGTAGCCCTCGAAAAGCTGAATATTGAGCAGTATGAGAATACATTTACAGCTACGGAAGTAATGACGTACATCATTAAATCCTATCATCGCTCGGATATTTGTTTAGGTTAGTAACTGCTAGAGAACAGGGGTTTTACCATGAACCCTTATTACGATTCAGTTTAGGACCTAAAGTGAATCGTAGTGAGACAGCGCTACGTAAAGTGTATATCACCATCCCGTTTTTTTGTCCTTACGAACCTATACTGAACTGTAATAAGAGTTCATGGCAAGGCCCTAGGAACATTGACAAAGTTTCGAAGAGACTTTGTCAAGGTTTTATTTATTTAATTTGTTCATGAAATTCCCTTTTCTCTCGACAGACTCAAAAGCCTACGAGTGGGCAGAAAGGCTATTTGTTTTAAAACCTAACGCTAGCACTGATTTTGTAATGAAATTATATGAATATGCTGTCAAACAAAACAAGACCGATGTAAGTTAAGTAATGGCTAAGAAAATTGTCTACTTATTAGTGGCGAAGGGTGGATATTTGAATAAAGTAAACCGATGTAAAAGGTAAGCATCAAATGTTTCATTGCAAGATATTTTCCATTCAGTACCCTACCTATTACTGACGTAAGCCGCTGAAATTCCTATACATCGTGGACCCTTCGCCACTGCTACGTATCAAATATAGCATGTTAAAAGCAAAATTCTGTAATTATGTAGGTATATACGTGTCGATTACAGGTTAACTCTACTGATATTGACTTAAGGAGTAGATATTCTGCATTATGTTGCGGTGAAACTAATGTTCTTGCAGCAAATACAAGCAAGTAATGCTATTTTTATCATATGACAAATTATATATGACAAATTAATGAGAGTCGTTCATGTAACATTCATTTCATACATTGTAGATTACATTGCTCGTATTTAAGAAATATTCCATTTCTGAAACTGGCGCCGATCAAGATGGAGGAAGTTCACAAGGATCCAAATGTTTTCATTTTTTATGACGTCCTCAGCGACGACGAGTTTCAAAACATAAAAACAATAGCCGGTCCTAAGGTTTGTAGGCAGACAGTACCGTTTTCTTTCTTTTTATGCCTTTTGTTCGCGCTTAAGAGCGACTTTTAGCAGTGACGCAAACGCGCCTTGCATCGCTACACTTGCGATTTATAGGCGATTGCATCGATGTAAACGCGCGACTGCATCGATACAAACGCGCGATTGCATCGATGCAATCGCCTTGAAATCCCAACTGTAGCGATGCAATCGCGCGCTTGCATCGCGTTTGCATCGCTGCTTAAAATCGTGTGCGAGTGTAAACGTAGACGATTAACGTCTGCTTCGCTACTAAATCGCGTTTGCATCTCTGCTAAAACTCGCAGTGTGTAACCGCTCTTACAATAAACTTTTCAAATTTAGTGTTGTCAACATGAGCGAAACTATTTAATATTTCCTTTTCTGTTCTGCAGTTGGAACGCGCCAAAGTAGTCGGTGGTACTTATAGTGACAGTCGCATTGGCAAAAGTGCATGGTTAGACGACGATGTTGATGTTGTGGCAAAGCTGAGACGGCGTACAGCTGATTTTACTGGGCTCAGTATGTCACACGCTGAACGTTTACAAGTGCTCAACTATGGGATAGGAGGCCATTTCGATTGGCACTATGATGCTTTTAATGTAATAATGATGCTCTTAACCGGTAACCGGTGAGTTATAATGATTTAAATTGAAAACTTGTTTAAAAATATTATTATTTTACAGAGTAATCATAACAACATAGGTGGAAACAGAATAGCTACAGTTCTATTTTATGTAAGTATTTTCCTTTTACACAAAACTTGAAATAAATTATTTCCACAATATTTCGTATGCCAATTACAAAAGCATATTATCACAGATGACAGATGTCACTCAAGGCGGAGCGACCGTGTTTGCCCATCTAAATTTGACCGTAACACCAAAAAAGGGTTCAGCTCTATTTTGGGAAAACCTGCAACTTTCCGGAGAAAAGGATAACAAAACATTGCACGCAGCATGCCCAGTATTATACGGAAGTAAATGGGGTAGGTACCTACATTACCTAACACCTACAGCCTACTCATGCTATCATACGTGTAATCAATTACTACAAGCATAATATTTGTTTCAATCATTTTAACAATAATTTATGTAATCGTTGCTTAATAAGGTTTCAAATCGAGTAAGGGTAAAAATCAAATGCTGCGTTTAGCAATTATGTAATGATTGCAAACAATACGGTTTCTACGATTAAATAAAATAATAAAACACAACCCATATTTAATGCATATTTTATTAACAATCCATAACAACAAACTCAAACGAACCCCAAGGAAACAAAACAAAACAACAGTATAAGAAATAGAAGTGTACCACATACATTTTAACCAATTTTTTTTAATAAAGGGTTATGGCTCCGTTGTCTTGCTAATTTAACCAATCAGGAGGTGAGAGTCAGAATGGCTGGTGTACCTTAACGGATCCTTACGAATTTGGTATGAAAAAATTCACCTAATTTTTACTATTTAGTACCTCTATCTAAAAAATTTGTACCGCCATCAGAACGGAGTTATAGCGATATCAAAGGTACACCCGCCGTATTGACTGTCAATATGGAGGGTGTACCTCGGATTACCAATATTTATTTAATAACTATAAAAACTTCTTATTCCAAAAATTTGTATCTTAATAGTACTCTGAAGTAAAGGACACTCCACCTCGATCTGCTGGTTAGTTTCTGAGAACTAAGACAAAATATTTTAAGATTTCAGAGTGCCGTGTGCATCTTAACGAACCCTGAGATGTTTGGTACCAAAAAAATGTACCAAAATTATACTATTTAGTATTTATTCTCAAAAAATTTGTATCTCTATCATAACGAAGTTATAGCGAAATCATAATTGTAAATATTTTTGTAATTTTTTTTATTCTTAAATAGTTTATTTTTTAATTATGTCATGAAGGGTTGATGCCATTTAATTGTATAGGGCAGGGTAAGCATCTATATTTCCCAATAAGCAGGTCTTTTATTGATTTAGTAGTTTAACGGACTTTAATATTATATATTTAAATATTCTCACTAGAATACGTATTTCAATATGTTATTACATTAATAATAAATAAAGCTAGGGAGGGGCGGATAGTGACCATAATCGTTACTTTTTTATTCTCTGCTTTGGTAAAGGTTATCTACTGCTTTTTTACATGGCACCATTAGAACTAGTTTAAAGGCGGGTACTCACTAGCGAGCTGTAACTATAACCGTTGCATGTTATGTAACCAAAAATCATAGTGTGTACGTGGTTCGCGAGCTTGTCGCGAGCAGTACGCGTGCGGTTTGCAGTGAGCCGTCTATTTGAAGACTGTTTCAAGCGTACACACTAGAACCTCGTTACTGTATCTGCACGTTACAGTTACAGTTCGCTAATGAGTATCCGGCTTAAAATCCACCTTCGACTTCCTAGGTCAGTTTTATCCTACGATGCAGTAAAACCATTTCCAGAAATTCCGAATTCGTAAAAGTAATCATTTAATTTTTAGTGCATTGCTTGAAATAAACTATATTAAGGACACACGCTCGTAACCTTTTCTAACAAAACAAGGAACGATACTGACATATAAAGAAGATGTATGGTGGAACCTCTGCCTGCCCAAATAAATGGTGGAAGTTTATTTAAAAAAATTACTAAAATATTTACAATTTTGATTTCGCTATAACTTCGTTATGATAGATGTACAATTTTTTTAAGAATAAGTACATAATAGTCCAATTATGGTACATTTTTTTGGTACCAAATACGTAAGGATTCGTTAAGATTAGAAAAAAAACATGAAAAAAACACAGTGCCCTGGTTTTTTCTAAATTTGGTTTTTTTCAGAAAAAGTAAAATAAAATAACTGAAATAAAATAAGACAATAACTTTTGTTTTAAGAATGTATATATGTGTGAATATAACATGTTTATAAAAATCAATTACCATGATAATTATAACAAAAATTTAATATTTATTTGTGTTACTACTGTTACAGGTGTGACCCACACTTGTAATGTCATCAAAATTTTCTGTGTCTACCGAATAATTTTATATAAACGTCTTGCTAATAATTCTATGTAAATGTTGCTATATAAGGGATATGTGCGATGTGGAAATAAATATTGATATCGCTCTTAGATAAATAAATAAGTAGTGTTTTTATCAGTAATCATCAAAGTAGCGATGCAACAGCAATAGATAGATTTTAAAAAAAGGTAAAATGTTAGAATCCCTGCATTTTCTCTACATAGCGTTAATCCCATAAAATCATCGAGATGAAATGCCCCGTAATTTGGGGAATTCGCCACAAATTGACAACACTATGAATGTTGCCCATTTATTTTAAGCAATTTATCTATGAAGAATAATATTAACAAGAAAAGAGGAAATGTAGTAAAAAATACAATTGTCCTATTGTGATATTTTTATTTTCATACTTTTAGAAAAAAAACTTACTCCAGAAAAAAACCGGTTTCCTTTCATGTTTTTTTTAACCTCAGAAAAAACGATTTTTTTAACAACACTACACACGGCACTCTGAAATTTCAACATATTTTGTCTTATTTCTCAGATTCCTTTACTTCTGAGTACTATTAAGGTATACATTTTTGGAATAAGAAGATTTTATAGTTATTAAATAAACACTGTTAATCCGAGGTACGCCCGCCATATTGACTGTCAATGCGACGGGTGTAACTTTGATATTGCTATAACTTCGTTCTGATGGCGGTACAAATTTTTTGGACAGAGGTACTAAATAGTACAAATTAGGTACATTTTTTTGATACCAAATTCGTAAGGATCCGTTAAAGTACACCGGCCATTCTGACTCTCACTTATGTGGTTTATGGGCTAAGAATTTTCTTTGACAGATTTTAGTACAGGAGTAGAAAACATTATAAAAACGTTTTGTGAATTAGAAGAGCAACATAAATCTCCTAAAGTTCTTTCAACGTCTCAATTATTGTCACATCTCTTACAGTGTCCAACATATGGATCCACGAGGCTGGTCAGGAGCTATCGCGGCCATGTCCTGCTGTATAAACTTGTTTGAAGTTTCAAACCACTTTCATGTTTTAACTTACACGTGTAATAAAACGGAACTAAAAACTTGAGTTCATTATTTTTCCTTTTGACAATCCAGTTTATAATTATTAATACAAAAATCGTACACTTATAAAAAATATCTTCGATCCGGCCGGATTCGAATCGACGTCTCCCAGCAAACCGTGCCAGACGCTATGCCAACTAAGCCATGGAATGAACCAGCGGACCTCACGATTTTTTCTATGTGCTTGTTGTCGGATCTTTGTTGTAGGTTTTTAACGACTGTTTTGCCGTAGCGCCATCTGTGAGAAATCTATGAAACTATTTCATCACCCAGTGAAGTACTTTTGTAGCTGTAAAGGTGCCTTAGTTGGCATAGCGTCTGGTATGGTTTTCTGGGAGATGTCGGTTCGAATCCGGCCGGATCGAAGGACATTTTTCTAAGTGTTGTATTAATAGTTGCCTCTGTGCTAAAAAATTACTGCCTCTGTGGCCTGACGTTTACCATGCCGGACTGCCACACAGAGGTGCCAGGTTCTATACCTGGGCCGGGAGAAATATTTGTATGGCCTACATTTATTTGTCTCGTGAGTTTGGGTGTAATTTGTGGTTGTCTATGTGTGTGTCCATGGCACCTACGACACAGGGTTTTCCCAGTGCGGGGCTGTGTTGAGTGTGTGCGTTATTACTAATTATAACAAACTAATACGCTTGAGTATGGCCGTGTTATACATATAGTCCCCTTACTACGAAATGCATTGTAATCGTATAGAACAAGTACAGAACAAAGGTCTAAAAATGATCTGCTACAGATTGGGGCTGGGTCGCAAATTAGTTACTTATAGGGAGCGACTCGAAAAGTTCAAGATATCTTTAAAATACAAGATATTCTGAGTGAGTGCGTGAGTGAGTGAGCGAGTAAGTACAAATGAATGAATGAATTAATAATAATATAATAAAATAATAAAATAATAAAATAAATAAATGAATGAATGAATGAATGAATGAATTAATTAATAATATAATAATATAAAACAAAGAAACAAACAAACAAACAGTAATTAACACCTAAGTATTCTAAAACCAGATAAACGTCTTTACTTTCGTTCGAGTGTATACATTAGTCAGGTAATTATTGTTCGTTATAATTTACTGTTATCTCGGTAAAAGGGCGTGAGGTATGTAATTATTATTTAATCATCTTGAAAGATAAAATTCCATTGCATGCTGGCACCCACCGATATCAAAACAGTATTTTATGCAATCGTTGCATAATGAGGGTTAGTCGAGCACCGTGTTTAAGTAAGTAATAGGTACGAGATTTTAAGACCTAATTATGTAAATGCACCTTTTCTACAAGTAAATAAAGTAATGAAGCAGAACCAATATTTTGGTAACAATCCATGACAACAAACGCAATTATTTTTAAATAAAATTTAACCCATTTTTCCACGAGGATGGTTTATAAAATTATATCAAGGTTAGTGCCCGCTATTGACACAAAAAAGCAAGCGAACGAACGAACGAACGAACGAACGAACGAACGAACGAACGGACGGACGGACGGACGGACGGACGGACGGACGGACGGACGGACGAACGAACGAACGAACGAACGAACGAACGAACGAACGAACCAACGAACGAACGAACGAACGAACGAACGAACGATCGATCGGTCGATCAAAGCGATCGATCAGGGCAGAACCAATATTGGTAACAATCCATGACAACAAACGCAATTATTTTTAAATAAAATTTAACCCATTTTTCCACGAGGATGGTTTATAAAATTATATCAAGGTTAGTGCCCACTATTGACACAAGTAAGCAAGCGAACGAATGAACGAACGAACGAACGAACGAACGAACGAACGGACGGACAGACGGACGAACGAACGAACAAATGAACGAACGAACGAACGGTCGATCAATCGATCAATCGATCAATCGATCAATCGATCAATCGATCAACCGGTCACTCGATCAATCGATCAATCGGTCAATCGATCAATCGATCTATCTATCAGTCGATCAGTCGATCAATCGATCAATCGATCAATCGACCAATCTTAAATCTTACAATCTTACAATCTTACAATCGATCAATCGATCAGACGATCATTCGATCATTCGATCATTCGATCAATCGATCATTCGATCATTCGATCAATCGATCAAAC